AGCCGTATAAGAGGCTTGAGCGGTTTCCGCCCAAGCCGAAGAGGACTCCACATCCATCTCGTGGGGACTCTGGGTACACGGCAGGGTAATAGAAACCCTGTGTGAGATCCAGAGGAGCGTGGCGGCCTGATCCACCGCCCACCTCTTCCCGTCTTTGAGCGCGACTTTTATAAGAGGTATCTACGATTTCCATTTTGGTGGCTCGTTCACCCAGAGCATCCGGAGCTCTGCACCGTGGAGCCTAGCAACCTCCACGAGACCGTCTGTGTTATCTGTCTGTAACCGCAACTCAATCAAGTTTTCCAGCCTACACCACTGCCATCTCGGTGTAAGTAAACAATCTTTAAAACCACCGATACGAGTTTGTGCCTAATTCCAGCTCGACGGCTTTCCCTCTCCGACCCGATGTGCCCGGGCTGCTGGCCACAGCCTGCGTGCAGCGCGGAAAAGGGCTCGGGTCGCTCCCGGCCCGCACAGTGTCCATATTCAGACTTCAGACATCTGGGCTGTAGTTGCATTGGATATAGAACTGTTATATTTCATTTCCTTTCTTGATGTTGTCATTAATGACTGCAGCAGGAGAATGGTACAGCTGTAGTATCAGGGTTTAAAAGCAAAATTTCCATGAAGATATAGTTAAAAAGTGATGCTACAAGTAGCCTTAAAGGGGGGGAAAAAGAGAGAGAGAGAGAGAGAAGAGAGAGAGACACTCAGACAGATATTCTCCAAAATGTAAGTTTAATGTAGTTTGCATTTGGAGCCTATAGAGTAAGAGCAGAGAAATGCTTGTTATTCCTTTTTTACAAAGCTTAATTACTTCACGTAAAAAAGAAACCACAGTATTTCGATACACGGAACTAGCCCTGCATAGGAAGTCTGTGAGATAGGATCGAACGTGTATACAAAACAAGTTAAAAACCAAGGTGAACAATCACTCCCCACTCTGTCCCCAGTGAAGAATCCAAACCTACCCAACAGTTACTCACACTCACAGAACCCAAAGGATTGGCACAGTACAAAACAGTGTGCTTCAAACTACATTCATTTATCCCCTTCCTTCATTTATAGTATACTTCCATCAATTTCCTCTTCCCTGCAAAATTATTTTCCAATACCAATTACCACATACTGTTATTTGACTTTATGGTACAGACAAAAGATGGAACTTAGTGTTATGTCTTCATAGTCATACTTTTAGTATTGAAGAAACCAGTCAGCATTCCACGTGTAACTTGTGAAATATTCAATTAAGTTTGTGGTGGAAAATAGACACATACAGCCACTATTATCTTACAACCAAAATGAAACTTAAAGTGACATTTTTCTTATAAAGGGCTTTATTCTTCTGTATTAAATGTCAGAAAACCCCTTTCCTTTTTAAAGGGTACCAATTTGAAAGTCCAACATTTTTAAAAACAAATTCTCAAAAAAAGATTGTTTCGAAGTTAGGAAATATTTAAGCATATTTCCTATTAGGATTGCTGGAGAGATTGGGAGAACCGTGGTATCTGCAGCTAAAGGTGAAGCTGAGCATCTGTCAGCCAGTTACCACCCTACATTTGTTTACAGTCTCATTTGAGAGACTAGAATTGGACATCCTCATCAAAACAGATCCATTTGAAATACTAAGCATGGACTAGAGATGAGTTACCCACCCCTTCAAAAATTCTGGTCATCCAGTTCAGGAATGATGCATGACTGGGTAGTGGAAAACTTGCATTACAACATCTATACTTGTTCTGCAGAAACAGATGACTCAATTTTGCACCTTCCAAATTATATTTTTAAAATGAATAAAGTGTTTGTGAATGTAAAAATCCATCCTTCTATTAGAGAGAAAATAACCAATTGATGCTTAATAATTACATGTCTTTACTTTGTGCAGTGTAGCAGTCAGAATGGCCATAGATGCATATACATATGAAATACTTGCTATAAGGATGGTAATAACATTGACAGGAAAATACTAGCTTAACTTTAGAATTTGGTGGAAGAGAAAAAAGTTTCATTTTCTACCACTGTTTATTTTTCACTTTCTTGGATGAAAGTACTCTGGTGAAAGCTCCAAGAGAGCTGAACAACAGAAAATCTTTGAGTATGCCTCAAAAAAAAAAAAAAAAATCTACCTCATATTTCTCCACAAGTATGCCTCTATGGGGTATCTGTGTCCTTATCCTCATAGGAATATGCTGGAAAATTTTCAGCCATTTTAAAATATAATGAAACTCAAAATGTGTATTGTTCTTGATACTCTATGGCATTTGACTGAGACCTCCAGCAATAAGAGTAAAATGGTTTCTCTTTCCATTAGAGAAACATATAATAGAAAATAAGAAAATGGAAAATTACCAGTTACGGGGAAAAAGTAGAAAAGAATCCATCCTAATAGTCCACGTTCTTGAATTACTTTTTCACAGAATTCAAGTTCCAGCTAACAAAGCTGCCAGTTATCATAGTGTTAAATTTGTAGCAACATTTACCAACACTGAAGGAGTAACAAGACCAAAAACAAGAGTCCAGGAGGTGAATATTCAAAGCTACATTTACCAGCCCACTAACTCGTATCTGTGGGATCACTCATATAATAACTACCATGGAGTCTAGACTGCTGTAGTTTAACAATGAAGCAAAAATTAGGCATTATAATGTGATGGTAAAAAACCAAGTGTAAAATGGGGTTAAATGTACCAGTCTTTCCCCTATGAAGTCCTAAGTCTGAATATTTGATGAGATCACAAGTCAGAGTTCAATGGGCAGCCTCATGCCATTACAAATTCAAAATCTGGAACAGTATGTTTTAGGATGGAGGTGTTGTCATAGATATATAGGAGACCCACGCAGAATAGGTAAGTTATTCCATGGGAGGTACAATATTTTTTTTTAAAGAAATGTAAGTAGATTTAGTAGACAACAGAATAAAAAAAAATTATACGAAAGACTTCACTATCTTCATTGGCTCTATAAGCAAGGAAAGCCATGTGGTTAACTAGAAAACTCATTGGGATGTTTTCTAATTTTAAAAAATTTGATAGCACCAGCAAAGTATTCCCATAAATGTTATTTTTACATTATATTTCTGAAGTCTCAAACAGAAGCCTCTTGGAGAAAAATGTCCAGCTTTAACCATCTATTGTTCTATTCAAGTAAGAAACGTCAACTCCTCACTCTAAAGAGCAGCACAGATTCTGGAGTCCAAGGCATGCTCTAGAACCCTTTTTCCATGACCCACGTTGGAGCTTCAAATATAATCACTGTTCATTCCTACAGCGCGCTGTGGATTCTTAATGAAATTTACTTGAGGAATAGTAAGGAAAAACAAAGAATATTAAAAATAAAGAACTGAAATCAAATTACTTGTTCTTGCAATCAACAACTGGGGTGGCACATATTTTAATCATTACAAGTCAAAGAAATTCAGCCAATTGTATAAAAATTCACTAGTGCAAATTTACTAATAACTTTGCAAGAGAAATTCTGAACAGGAATTCCTCATAATTTGGTTTTTCACACAAACAACATATGTGCATCAAGGGACAAAGAGTGGAAAGCTGTTTCAATATACTTTGTAAGTACAAAGTTTTATATAAAATGCAGTTCTCAAACAATATTGCTTCCAACATGTCTGCTGGCTGTAAAGAAGTATCCCAACACATGCGTCAAGGCTATCCAACCACTTGGCTTCACTTGATGTCATGTGCTAAGGGAAAGGAGACATTGAAACAGCCAGGCAGCAAGCACTATTTTTATACTCTGTCAAGGATGTGCTCATCACCAAATCAAATCACAAATATCAAGGACAAAAGTATTCTAAAATCAAATTAAAAGACTAAAACAATTAAGTCACCCAAGTCTCATTAATTTGGCTTTTAAAATTGCTCTATCATCTGATGCGGGTCCCTAATCCAAAAAGGGTCCAGATCAACCCACTGATTTTTTTCGAGATAGAAAAAACCCATTGGGTACACTCTGTTTACTGCCCATCGCTGAAACAAAATGAAACCACCCACAATGCAAGACCACTGAACTGGCAGGTAAACTGCATTCTATTCAATCAAAGATTGTTTTCTGTGAGAATACTTTTATTTTAAAGACATTTTCAGGGCTTATATGCCACAATAAATTTTACTCTGAATCAACAGTAAAGTGCTGTATTTTATTGACTACCTGAATCTCATTCTCACTTAAAATCTTCACTTATGGATGTCTTAACAAGTCAAAAGAGCCCTTTCTGCTGCAATAGCTAAGCTGTTGTGCAAATATTATAAAAATAGGTAACTTTCATTAGGAGCTATGTATACAAACACAACTTCTGGTGTTTCCTTTATTACTGCTGACCAATACTAGAGATGTAAGATGCATGCAAATTATCTATAAAGGTGTATTTAAAATGAAGAGAAAGGGACACTGCTATGTAACTTTTGATACCTTGGCAGAGAGCCACTTACTATAATATAATTATACTAAATGATGTCTAGATCTGGATTGACAAGCTTCATACCACTGACATGCTTTAGTTTCTTTGTAGCTAAAGAAGCTGATTTGTAATTTCAGACTACAGCATACATTTGATCTATTTCTCTTTAAAGTGTATTACATTTGAGGTTAAAATTTGAGCAAACTCTTCACATCTAGTCACACAATCAGCACAAGCAAGACATTAGTGCAAGGGAAAGGTGTCAGTTGTACATGATGAAGACTCTTCCCCTTACTGCATGATGCATTAGAATGACTTTTAGACTTAAATTTCAAGTGGATTACCAAGAGAACAAAGATTTTTCTCCCAAATTTAGCACTCATTTCCAGAGGATTAAGAGAAAGCAAATCTCAGATACAGCTAGAGTAAAAAAGTCAAACCAAAAACAGCTTGGAGAGCTGACACATAGCTCCAAAAGTTGTCATGCTGTGAAGGCAGTATTCTCAAAAAAGAGCTCCAACAAACTGCAAAAAATGGAGTTTGAGTTGAAGTTGGTCAACTGCTGCATAGAAATATGCTAACACACAACAGTCATGTTTAAGCCAGTGCATAGAGAAGATAAAGCACTTATGGTAATTGCAAATGTTAACAAGTCCATACAACTTGTACAATTTAGCAATGAGTCCATAAAAAAAAGAACAGAATTAGAGCAGAAATGCTCAAGCAAAAACAAAAAAAGATGACCTTCCAACTGTATAAAATCCACATACCAGTAATAGTAAAAAGACACCAGTGAAAATTATTAACTCAGTCCCAAACACCCAACAGGCAAATAAAACCAGAGTAGACAAGCCTTTGGCAGACAATTTAAAGAGTCTAAATATGGCATTACATTTCTAAATAATCCACAAAATATATTATATGGCATATTCATATTAAATACTGGGTAACCAATTCTGCAGATCTGATGCTAACAATGCTTTAGCCAATGACAGCATGATGGGTCAAGCTAAATAAACGCTGGTGTATCACAACAGTACTTGAGAAAGCAACAATTAAATGTCACCAACTCGTGCTTCAACAACAGTACCGTGGGACTGTCACATTATCATCTATGGAGCAAAACAAAGTTTTCTAGTTTCTCGGGGATGTGCCCTTTATAGCATATGTTATGAGTTACGATGACACGAGCAGAAAGACACTGTAATGTAGTATGATTTATAGGCTGGATCAAATTTTTTGCCATTTCCTTCTCATCCAGCAAATCGCTAGCGGTCTGTTTATGCAAGTTTGTGGCATCAAAGTGTGAACCTGACTTGATTAGAAGATTCATAATATCTGGATGGTTGTTCAATGCAGCAACGTGTAGGGGGCTGTTGTTATCAGAGTCTCTGACATTTACATCAGCACCACATTCCACCAGAATAGCAGTAACTTGCAGAGAGGGGAATTTACAAACTGGGTAGCGACCTACACATGTAGTATTCTTGTCAACAGCAAGATGAAGTGGGCTGAAGTTATTCTTTCCTCTAGGCTGCAGCTTAAGGAACTTATAAATAGTCTGCTTTTTAAAATGCTCCTGTTCTGAACTGCAAGGAACTTTTTCCAGCAAGCAAATTAAATGCAGGATGATGGAAAGGGCTTTGTTCAATTGTATGGGGTCAGGTGGACTCTGAGTTTGTTTCATGGCCCGCTCAATTTCGAGGACACTTTTACACAGTATACCCATAAGATCGTCGAATGTCACAGTGGTGCCCAGCAGACCTTTTGCTCTGTCTTGCAACATGAAGGAGAAGAGTTCAGCAAAGGATAACAGACTGCTGGCAGTCATAGGGCTCAGTGGGTCTAAATTGCTCTGCTGCATGTCCAAAGCATACTTCCATAGGTTGATGCATCGTTTAAAGTTACCAGAGTCTGCGTAGACAGCACCCCGGTACCTAATGTAGTAAGATGTATCTGGGTGAGAAGGACCAAGAATACGTTCTCTAATTAACAGCGCTTGCATTCTCATCTCATCAGGGTCTGCAATAAGATTTTCTAGCTCCTCCGAGCTGTTCACCTCCTTGGCATAATCGTAAGCCATTATCAGCGTCTGTGGCACAGGTTTGCTGAGGATGTTAGTCCTGTCACTGTATCTCATCTCCATAGCTCTTTTCCAGTATTTCAGAGCACCAAGCAGATCTCTCTTTTTGTCCACAAAGGTTGCTCCTAGAAGTTCCAAAGCATTGATGCGTTCAGCCTTGCTGGTCTGCACATGCTGGGTCAGAAAGTCCACAATATTTGTGTGACCTGTAACACTGGCTGACAAGAGAGGAGTCATACCATATCCATCTTTTTCCATTTTTGCACAGTATTTAAGAAGCATCTTCATGATCTCTAAGCTTCCAGATTCCGCACAATCATGTAATGCAGTGTTTCCTGGCAAGAAAAAAAAATCATAATTACACAAATAATAGCAAAATTAGAGGGCAACCACATAGCTAAAGAAGGGAAAATACTTAGTACACAAAACAAGAGAGTTGAGAGCTACATCTAGAATACACTAGACTGATTAAAACACCAAGGCTATTAACCACCTATGGAAGGGAAGGGTTACTTGATAAAATTCAAGATGTTCCAGGTACCCTTTTGTCTCATTACTTCAAATTTAAAACAGAATCCTTCACTACCTGTTGACTAATTTTATATTTGCTGTTCAAGGATAAAACAGATACTGGATAAAACATGTATACTGCCTCTAGACCAGGGGTGGGTAATTATTTCGGCCTAAGGGCCACAAAGGGAGTTCTGGTGAACTATTGCAGACTGGGTCAGCACTTCCCCACACCTGCCCCCTAACAGCTCACCAAAAGTCCCTGAGTCAAGGGCCACACTTCTCTCTCTCTCCTCCCCGCATAGCTGCAGCAAGCCCTAATCCCCACCCTGCCCCAGAACATGCCAGCCACGTCTGCAGCTTACACCAGCACCTATCTGGTGCTCAGGAAGCAGCCCTGGGCAGGCCGGCATCAGCTGTAGACACTGCAGGTAGGCTCCAGGTGGGGATCAGGGCATCTGCCCAGGTCCACAGCGGAAGCCACCACATCAGTGCTGGGCGAAAACAGCCCCGCCTGCCCAGCACCATGCAGTAGCTGGAGCCAGAGCCACCAGCGTCCCACAGACCAGATCCCATGAGTCTGTGGCCATCCACCTGCAGGCCAGATACAATCAGTTAGCAAGCCAAATCTAGCCCACGGGCCATAGTCAAGACAGGGAGTGTTTCTTCTGTGTCTGTATACCCCTGGTTAAAATAGGACTCCACCCCAATTGGGGTCTTTGGGTGCTATGGACACTAGCCAAACTTTTAAATAAACTAAAAAATATAGGTATTAATTTATCTACCTACATACATACCCATATTCCTTGCCTTTTTACTTGTATTTGGATTAAACGATCTACTGACATAGGGCTCCCAGTGTTTATCCTAAATTATGGAATTTATGATCCCTTTGTTCTTCTGGTTAGGATTCCCCAAGCAAAGTTTAAAAAAAAAAGAGAGTGGATAAAGAAGAAAAACACTGATTTCTCCAAAATACAACACTGTACTGTTACCTAAGATAAAACGTAAATTTAAAAAAGCCTGAAATATTTCATAACTACAAAATATTTCCCTTTAGTATAATGCTACAAATTCTTTTTATAATGCTACAAATATTTCCCTTTAGTATAATGCTACAAATTCTACATGCCATGTCAACATAGCATGTAGAAAAAAGCCAGTAAATAACACAAAGCATTGGGGGTTGACTAAAATCCATATCTACTCAAGAAGTAGCGTAGATGAAAGTTTTAAAGAAGTTCATTTCATGAAGTGGAAAATATGATGATTTAGTATGTCCCTTATACTATTGATTTATCTCAGAAATAAACAATTTGGTTGTTGTTTACATCTGTATATGCCAGATGCACTCATTCATTTATTCATTTATTAGATTTATATCCCACCCTATCTAAAAGGCAGCTTACAATAAACTAAACTTTATGTAGCCTACTACATTATCAGAAAAATAATTATTTGAAGTTTCATATGCAAAACCTAGAAAAAAACTGAAAAACTTTAGCAAATATTTATATTTCTTATATCAGTAAACTTGCAAGTGCAAATCATTTGATGGAGAATCTCATAACCTATGAGAACTAATATTATTATCTAGATAGTCAATATCCCTGGTGGGAGGCCATCATTCCACAAGTAATTAGAACTATATCCATTGACTAATGAAAGGAAAAAAAGCCAAACAAACCAGATATCTTCCTGTTAGTCATTTTTTGCAGCAGAAGACCTGTTCCTGCAGCAGAACTCATTACAGCTGCTGCTGCTACTTCATTTGCTATTACTCCAACCACCCATGTCACGGTCTTTTCACTCTGTTATTAATGCACTCTCCAAACCAGATATTCAGTTGCATTACAGGGCCTTCGTACCACCTGAGAAAATGGGAAGGTTGTACCTGGCCAACTGGAAAATATTTTGGTGTGGAAAAGCCAACATGCTTGCTTCCTGCGTAGGAGGTATATCAAAATGAAAGGGATATGGTCAGCCACTGAATGTCTCTCTCCCCTTCCACTGTCTTTTGTGTTCTAATTTTTCTCCTCTAATACTAGGGATTGGCAACCCCCAGCATGTGTGCCAGAGCATAGCATGCAAAGCCATTTTCCTCAGCACACCACAGTCAACCCAGACTCTAGGCAGCTTCTGCCAGCAGCTGCCCAGAGCCTGGGCCAGCTGCAGTCAGGAGGCTGCAAACGGCTACATGAGGCTCTGCAGTCCCACCACTAGTTCTGTGGCAGCAGCAGCTGTGAACGCACCTCTGGGCACATGGCTAGGAAGCGGCCTGGGCAGCACAACCCTGGCTCCTCCCCCACTGTCCACCCAGAGGCACATGTGCAGCTGCTGCCACCACAGAACCATTGCCAGGGCTGCAGAACTTGGCACAGCTGTTTGCAGCTTTCTAACCACCTGCCACAACTGCCCAGAGCCTGAGCCGGCTGAGGAAAATAGCCAGGAGGCTGCAAACAGCCCTGGCACCGGCTACATGGTGGTGATGGGCGCACACATAGCTCGCAGCACATAGGAGAGAGGGGGCAGGAACAGCTCAACCCAGCCGCTCCCCTGGAGACGTGTGCAGACACTGCCAGCAGTGAGGATCGGGCCCTCGTGGCTTCCCCATCTCTGGCACACCAAGTCGAGACATAAGTGGAGGTTGGGATGATTCTGGCACTCCGGCCAAAAATGTTGCCGATCCCTGCCTCATACTCTGCCTTCTGCACATCCTTTCACAAAGTCAACATCCATAAGAACAGCTTCAAGCTGGGTGTGCTAGCACAAGCTTTCATGACACACGCATACATTTTGGTCAGTCTATAAGTTGCAAATCTACCCTGCCTTTTCCAGCTATGCTCAGCTGATGTACAATTTTTTGTTTATATTTTTTTTAACCACAGGAATTTTATTTTTCATAGCCACCCAGATTGCAACAGAGCTCAGGTAGAAAACCAAATCCACTTTAAAAAAATTAGATGGCTATGACTAGTGTCTGTGACAGTTCTTATTGCTCAGAACAAGAGAAAATTTGGGTTGCCTGGTTTATGGCTTATTCCTAACTTAGAAATATGAGTCAAATTTTGGTCTGGATTAACCAGTACGCATTCAGGCCAAAGTGAACTTGACCTTTATACTGATAAAGATAGGAGGTCGAACTGTGTACCTCATTAAAAGTCCAGTGTATGTTGGAGAAACATTATATTATACAGAAGGATACATTAAGGTTCCATCCTATTATTTTTCATGACACTGATATGCTCGTGGAACAATTTATATTTCTTAAAGTACATAAGACTTGAAAACCCAAGAAATACTACAGCATAATCCCTGCATTTCCTAGAAGTCATCTATGACCTTGCAGTGTGACCATTTTTAAAGCATTTAAAATGTATATATCCACAATTTGATTCGCCACATAAAAGCTTGATTATTAAATAACTATTTACTTCCAATAAGACATGAAAATATAATGCTAGTTTCTGTCCATTTCCAAGACATGGACCTTCCTGCTCATCCAGAAGCACACAAACTCAACAGTGTATGCTACAACCCCAGCATAGGTGCCAGTTCTATGGGCAGGTGTCTGCATGGAGCCGATTGCAGCTCTGCCACAGGCCCCAGCCCCACACTGTCATTGCCTTACAATCCCGATCTCAGCCCTAGACCTGGACCCAACCCTGCTCTGCTGGATGCCACTCCCTGCCTACCTATAATTCCATTCCACCCCATCCCAGCCACCCGGACAAGAGCAGAGCCACGTATGGAGTTCTGGTGAGCTGTTGGGGGCGGGGTGCTGGCCCGGCCTATGACAGCTCACTAAAAATCCCAAAGTAGCCCTCAGGCCCAAATAATTGCCCACCCTTGCTCCATGGCCTACCCAACATGCCAGGGATTTTCAGACTTCAGCAATACATCTGAAAAGAAGAGGGGGTTAATACAGCTTTTATTATAAAGGTCACTACTACTTTATTGCAATGACCCACAGGTCCAGCAGATTCCCACATAAGAGATATCTTAGGACAATGGTTCTTGACCTTTTTAGACTCAAGGATAGACTTGAGACCTTGGATAGACTTGGTGAACCCCTCCAAAAATGCCAGCTCTTCGTTTTTATTTGCTTTTTTGACTACAGAAAAACAGAACAATTTTTCTGTTGCAAAGAACTCAGAAAGACCACGACAGGTCAGAATGTTTTTAACAGTACTGAGATTCATGTTTGCTCACCTCACAGGGCTAACACCGTTTGGAACCCTGAGACACCCTTGAAAGGATCTCAAAGCATCCCAGAGTGCTGCACCACTCTCACTGAAAATTACCGTCCTAAGACTACAACGGGAATTAACTGTGGTTACCCTAGCAACACTGCAAGAAAAAAAGAGTACAGTATTACCCATAGCTTAATATAATTTGTCAGTTTACAAAAAGACTGCAATTCTCTACCTTCTGTGGACCAGCAGCAATCTTCAGAGCCCTTCCTGCTGGTCCACAAAATAAAATATTTTGAAAACCAAACAATGGAGAGGGGGAGGAATTAGTGTTAGGAAAGGATACAATTCATAAAAACAAACAGTCTCTCCTGTGAAAAATAGTCAACCACTTAAAATAATGCAATATCTATTTTTCCTTCTCAACCAAATAAGACTTAAGATCTCCTTCCAACTCTCTTTCTGGGGAGGAAGTACATTGTTACCACAAAACTTGAATAATTCATATCAGGGTAGTTCAAAACCCACTTAGTTTGAGGCAGGTTGACAAATTAAAGATGAGCAACTCACCTTTTTGCAGCATAGAACCACAGAAATGTTCCAGCTGCCGCTACAGCTTTAACTGCAAAGGC